GCTGAGCATGAACCTTCCATTTATTGTTATAATGAATTGTGAAATTCTCAGATGTGCTGAATTGTAACATCACTCTAGATAGAGAGTGCCTGGCATCATTGTGCTTTTTCCAGTTGTTGCTGAGGATCTGAAACTGGTGCACACATACGAGCAGTTAAACCACACTGCCTTTGGCTTAATATGGTCCAAGGCCGCACATAAATCTTGTTGAATAGCAGGCTGCAAGATATATAGTACATGAACTACAAAACCCACTAGTGTCTGCAGAAAGGGGTTTTGCAGTGATGCATTAGCAAATACTGGGATCCACACAGAGGCCAAACTAGATATAATCTTAAAATGTGTTAACAGGGGCTCTGGTGCATGGGAGGGAGAGTTAATCCTCCTTCTCTCACAGCCCCATGGAAAGCACTCATTCAAAGCTGTTACTAGTCCAGGAACTCACAGAGGTGGAACTGGTTGTATTGTGATCCACGGATATGACAGAGATAAATCACTCTCCTCTCCATGCAGTATTGTCCCAACCCTTATGTACAGAAAAATACCAGTACATGCTCAATGCACTCAAACATTTAACATAATATCTAGTTTGGGCTCCAGAAGACGTCCATACCGGTTGGAGATTACATCTAACTACTTTTATCTTTCACAGCTTCTGGGCCATTTTTCTTAGAAGTATCACATTAGACTTAATTCATAAAGTACAGAGGCAAAAGGGAGTGCTCATAGATGTGCTTGCAGTTCAGTGTAATGCTCAACCAACATAACAGGGCTGAGGAATATCCAGCCTTCCTGCAACTCTCATCACCTTTAGCCAGCAGAGCTGATGGGTGAGGGATGACAGGAATTACAGTCTATTAACATCTAAAGAGCCGCACAGCTATGCAATACTGGCATTTAAGCACTTGCTTGTCAAACATCTGGCTGGATAGCTCAATGGATTAGGTATCTGGCTATGGAACCAGATGTTAGGAGTCCAATTCCCCACTGTGCCTCCTGGGCAAAGAGCCAGCCCATGTAGTCTTGGGCAAGCTGCACAGTCCAGAGCATCCCCAGAAGGAAATTATAAACCATTCCTGAGCTTTCTCTGCCTGGAAAACCCTGGAAAGAGTCACTGTAAGTCTGAATTGACTTGACAGCATACTATCATGATGATGAGGATGATTTTGAATATAGCCTGATCAGGAAGTGTACTGCGAGTTTAATTTTAGAGGCTAAACTTGGGATGAAATTAAAGGCAAACATTGCAGAGGGCAGGAGGGATTGACATTTTGGAGGTGTATTCCTATTTCCTGCAATACTAGATGCTCCTTATTTTGAGTTAGACTACTGGTCCATTTTGCCCAGAATGGTAAACTCTGAATGGCAGTAGCTCTCAGGGATTTCAGTGACTTTCCTAACCCTATCAGGAAATGCTGAGGATTGAAACTGGGATGTTCTGCCTGCAAATTGTGTGCTCTGCTACTGAACTATGGACCCCCTCCTTCCAGCTATCCAAAAGACTTCAAGTGCACAAGCTTCGCATCTCACACTTTTGGGTACTAAGCTTAGATCAGTGATATGTGCCCACCCTAAACAGTTCTTTCCTAATACAGTGGCGCCTTGCAAGACAAATGTGTCACAAGACAAAAAACCTGCAGACAAATGGTTTTGGCGATGGAGTTGATGACTCGCAAGACAAATGTTCCTATGGCCATCCTTTGCAAGATGAATGTTTTCCGTTTTTTGTTCCTGCCTCATGCTTGCTGATTTTTAAATGTTTTTCTACGATGTTTAAAAAGTTAAAATTTTTTGACTGAAATTTTAAAAATCATCTGCACAATATGTATGGCTTTAAAGAGCACTTAATAAACCCTTTGTAAACCAAATCTGACGTTGTTCTGACTTTTTTTAGATTAATTAGATTTCAATGCATTCCTATGGGAAAACGCGTTTCACAAGACAAATATTTTGCAAGACAACATTAACTGTGGAACAAATTAAATTCGTCTTGCGAGGCACCACTGCGAGGAACTGGGCCTTTGAAATGACAGGGGCAAGGACATGCCAACAATGAACTAGGGTTGGAACTGAGAGGCTCATGTGCAAATTGCAGATACGTTGTCAAGTCATTGCATGGACTTGGGAGAGTCATCATCGGGGCACCCTATTCCATATCTGCTGACAAGTCTCCACTGAGCTCATTGGACTGGAGACAAGCCTTACATTTGAAGAACAAAGACCCTTACACCTTACAGATGCCAATGAACCACTCCCATCATACCTCACTATTGGCCAGGCAAATTCGGATGGGGCTTGGAGTGTACCATCACAAGGAGGGCCATATTTTTCTTAGCCCTCCTGTATAGGATTGCAGGCTGGGTCTTGCAGCCAAGTCGCCAGGGATAAAACGAGATGGCTTAATTCACAAGGGTTATGAGGCAACATGGCAAAGACGGAGGCCAAATAGAAATGCTATGTAGATGATTTTGGCTCCTTTTCTTTCCAAGCCACAGAACAATACAAAGGAAAGCCTTTTAGTCACAGTGAAAAAACTGAGGGGTGGAGGGGTGGTGATGAGAAAAACGTCACATTTTTATTTATATTTAACTTATCTAAATATGATTATAGATATTAGCAATATCAACTGTCCTTATAGAGAGTATGCAGCCACAATACTGTACAATTTGGCAGCAAATATTGGATTGAGGAAAGGAACACCACAGACCATCTGTTGAACATATAGACTATCAAAAGCCACCTGGACTTCTCTGGCATACAGCTAATTAAGATACTGAGAAGGCCAGTGGATAGCAACGTGCACAAAAATTTACTGTCAGCATCTACCTAAATGCCTGTGTAATGTGACTGCTTCAAATGACCTCTAAAGCAGTTTTGAAGAGAATCTTGGAATTGGGGAATCTTGTCCAAATAATCATGGTGGTATACCAGCACAGGCATTTTAAAGTTCTAGCTTTCTTTAAAAAAAATTATTCTGACCATGTAAATGATTGTTTGAAGCCCTGGTCATGTGAGGGAAATGTTCTCTAGTTAACCCCGTTTGCTGCTTTTCCCCCTGGTCACACAATGCAGTCAAGATCGAAACATTTTCTAGGCGAGTGGAACATGCACTAGTTCATTATTTACCGCGATTGCTTGTGTGCATAACCTGCACCATTTCTTTTCAGAATCGAAGCCAGGAAAGTGGCCCCTATTACATTATTTTTAATTTTTTTGTGCCCAATACATCAATATGTTGATAAAAGTATGTCACCAGGGGAGGGGCACCATTACATTACTAGCAAGTAATACTTTTTTCATTTCTATGGAAAGATACATTGAAACGTTGATATGCCAATGTCACTAGGGTGTGATCACCAGTATTGCCGTGTGGCTACCCCATGTCCATTGTGTGCCATGCATTTCTGCAGGAGCAGCCAGTGCAACAGAGGACACTCTCCAAAACAGAAACCCCTTCCCGATCAACGTACTAATTTTCAGCCCTGCTGGAAAGGGTTCAATCCCCCATTTTTGAGTCTGACCACCCATGCATTGCAACCAGAATGAAAGGGGTTGGAAATTATTATTGTGGGTGCACAGGAGGGGAGGAAAGCTGTGTGGAGGAGGGGTGGAATAATGTGCACTCGTGCAGTCACATGCCTTAGAGAGAACCTTGTTCCTGATATATTGATAAATAATATCTATCTATCTATCTATCTATCTATCTATCTATCTATCTATCTATCTATCTATCTATCCATCCATCCATCCATCCATCCATCCATCCATCCATCCATCCATCCATCCATCCATCCAT